GAGATTGGCCACAGAGCAAATACTCTAGTCGTGTTATGCTACCTCTGAATTAACATTTATAAAGCAAGTTTGCTTGCTTAAATATATCACTTCTCTGTTGTAACATAAAGTTTTATCTCGTGCTTGTTTTTTGTTTTTGAGACAAAGTCTCGCTCTGTCACCCAGGCTGGAGTGCAGTGACATCTCAGCTCACTGCAACCTTCGCCACCCAGGTTCAAGCTATTCTCGTGCCTCAGACTCTGGAGTAGCTGGGATTTCAGGTGTACACCACTATACCTGGCTAATTTTTGTATTTTTAGTCAAAACAAGGTTGTATTTTAGTAGAAATATGTTGGCCAGACTGGTCTCAAACTCCTGACCTCAAGTGACCCGCCCACCTTGACTTCCCAAAGTGCTGGGATTACAGGTTTGATCCCTTGCGCCCAGCCTTGTAATTGTATTTTTAAAGTAAAAGTTTGTGTATATATTTTGTTCATTTTGGAATGTTATTTTTTAAATTTTGTGCAAACCCTTTGTATGATAAACTCTTTAACTCCATCTCTCATGTGTTAAAAATATTTTCCCTCTTTGCCTTTTTATCTTAGCATTTAAAAATTGACCTTAAGTTTGCCAGTCTTTTCAATGTTGATTTCTATTGTTAGATTTCAAGTGTTCTCACAAAACTGTTTGTTTTTGTTTTCTGTGGCTTAATCGTTGAATAGTTGATTCTCAGATATATAAAGATCTTTTCCTGTGTTGTCTCCTGGATATTTTATAGTTTTAGGCTTTACAGTTAGGTCTATGATTCATTTCAAGTTAAATTTTCTTTGTAGTGTGAAGTAGGGATCAGAGTTCATATTTACCTGGATATCCAGTTGTTCAGCTTCATATCTTGAGCAGACTGCCCATTTCCTGTTGAATTACCTGTCACCTTTGCCCTGAACTCCAGGCTCCTTTATTCAGCAGCTTATTTGACGCTTCCACTTAGATGTCTAAAGGGCACTCTAGAACTAAAGGCCAAAACCAAGCTCCTTAACACCTTTCCAACTTTCTTTTTCCCAGTCTTCTTCATTTCAGGAAATAACAAAGCTATCTGTCCAGTAGCTCAGACCAAACACTTAGGGACTTCCTTCATACCTTTCTCCTACTCTCAGGGAAAATTCAAGGCACTAGCTAACCTTGTTGATTCTGTTTTCAAAATATACCTCAGATTTTACTACCTATCATTGCTTCCACTGCTATCCCATCCAAACCATAATTATTTTTGTCTGGATTATTTTAGTAGCCTCTAAACTGGTCTCTCTGCTTCTGCCATTGTTCCCCAGTCTGTTCTCATACAGCAAGCAGTAAAATCCTTATAAAAAGTCAAATGTTGTTGTTTGTTGGCTCAGATCCCTGTGGTGGCTCTCCATAGAACTCACAGGAAAATATGAGTTTGTAATAGTGTAGAAGGTCCTACATGACCTTGTTACTTTTCTGACCTTGTCCCTGTCAAGTCATTCCTTAGCACATTCTATCCTAGCCTCACTTGCCTCCTTGTAGTTCCTTGAACATACTAAGCATGCCCCTACCTCAGGGCTTTTGCATTTTCTGTCCTCTCTGCTTGCAGTACTTCATCCCACCAAGAATCTTCATTGCTTGCTCCACCTCCTCAAAGTCTTATGAATACCAGCTTCTCAGTAAGTCCCTCTCATACTACTCTATTTTAAATGATGCACCCCCCCACCTAGTACTACCTCTATTTCTTCCTTCTATATTTTTCTCTGTCCCATTTTACTCGCTGACACCCCCACACAAGACTGTAAGGTCTATGAAGGAGCAGTTATCTTTCTTATTTTCTGCTGTAACCTCAATGCTCAAAACTATGCCTGCAACCTAGTAAATACTCAGTACTTATTTTTTGGATCAAGGGATGAAAGTTCAACTTTTTTTCCAAAATGCTAACCAGTTTATCTCAGTGCAAGATATTTTAACAGCCATCATTTTGTCATAGAGGTAATTATAACACTTTGTTTCCTAATGCAAAATATAAAGATACATTTAAAGTCTAAGTATGAGATTTAATTTTGTATCTGGGTGTGAACTACTAAGTAATAGTTTGAATGTAATCTGAGCTACTTAGGTTAGAATTCCTTAATCTAGAATATTTTTTATTCCCTGCCTTGGTTACAGTGAGACATTTCTGATGATCTAACAGCCCGAATCAAAAACAGGTAATTGGATAAATCATAAGCATTGTTTTTCATAGGGATATATTGTATATTTTGAAAATAAAACATTCTTAGATCTTTTTAACTATTTTTAATGATAAATATAAAACATATGGTTTACACACAAGCAAATGTAAAAACACTGTAGATATATTTCAGTTAAAATGGCCTAAACTGAATACTTTGGGCTGCTTATAAAAACAGTCTCAGCAAACAATTGGAAAATAGCATACAAAGTACGCTATTTACGATAGCATCAAGAAAACATCAGATCTTGTATAGTGGCTCACACCTGTGATCTCAGCACTTTGAAAGGCCAAGTGGGGAGGATCGCTTGAGCCTAGGAACTCAGTACCAGCCTAGGCAACACAATGAGATCCAATCTCTACAAAGAAGGAAAAAAAATTAGCCAAGTGTGGTAGTGTGCACCTGTCGTCCTAGCTACTTGGGAGGCTGAGGTGGGAGGATATCTTGAGCCCAGGAGTTCCAGACCAGCCTGAGCAACAGAATGAGGCCTTGTCTCAAAAAAAAGGAAAGAAAGAAAACATCAGATTTCTAAGAATAAACCTAAAAGAGGATGTGCAAGATTTATATACTGATTACAAGATATCACTAAGAGAAAGAAGACATAAATACAGGTTGAGCATCCTAAATTCAAAACTCTGAAATCCCAAACGTTCCAAAATCCAAAACTTTTTGAGCACCAACCTGACACTCAAAGGAAATGCTCATTGGAGCATTTTGGATTTTGGATTTTCAGATGTGGGATGTACAACCAATAAATAAAATAAAATATTCCAAGATGTTTAAAAATCTGAAATCCAAAACATTTCTGGTTCCAGGCATTTTGGATAAGGGATACTCAACCTGTAAATGGAGATACACATCGTGTTCACACATTGAGAGAGTCAATATTGCTCAGATGTAAGATCTCTGCAAATCAATTTATAGATTCAATTCAATCTCAAATACCTAGTAATTGCATATATGTGTTTGTGTGTTAATAAGTTGATTCTAAAATCTACATAGAACGGGACCTAGAATAGCTACACAAACACACACACACACACACACGTACACACAAATGGGGGCAGGGTAATGGGGAGGAACAGAGTTGGAAGGCTTTTATTACCAGATTTTGAGATTTACTATAATTAAATGAGTATGGTATTGATACAAAGATACTCAAAACATATCAATGAAACATAATAGGGAATTTAGAAGTAGACCACCGTGAATATGGCCACTGATTTATGACAAAGGTGTACCTGTAGTTCAATGAAAAAAAACATTTTGGTTTTTCAGCAAATTAGTGCTGGAGTAATTGGATGATATCCCTATGGAGAAAGATAAGAACTTTGACTTCTACCTCACACCATACACAGAATTAATTTGAAGTGGATCATGTACCAAAATATGAATGATAAAACAAAGTTTCTTTATGAAGACATAGGAGAAAGACTTTATGACAAAGATGTCAAAAAGCACTGTGAAAGAAAAAAATGATAAGCTGAACTTCATTGAAATTAAGAAATTCTGTTTATCAAAAGATACTTATTCAGAGAGTAAAAAAACAAACCATAGAGAAGATTTTTGCAATAAATATTTTCAACAAAGGACTAATATATAGACAGAAAACTCCTTCAAGGCATTAAGGGCAATCTAATTCTTGTAGATAGAGAAAAGAGCAGGCACTTCAGAAATGAGGATATCCAAATGGCCAATGGGCTCCCAAAAAAAACCCTCAGCATTATTACTCATCATGGAAATGCAAATTAAAACCACAGTTAGACACCACTGCAGCTCACTGAAATAGCTAAAATTAAAAAGACTGACAATACAGAGTCTCTGAATTCTCACACTTGCTGGTAGGAGTGTAAATTTGTGCATCCATTTTGGAAAACTATTTGGTTGTATCTACTAAAACTAAATATACATCTACCTTACAACTCATACTAAGTATATACTCAAAAAAAAATGAGGACAATATACCTATCAAAAGACATTTACAAGAATATTCATAGTAACTTTATTCGTAATAGACAGAAAGTGGAAATAGCCCAACTGCCAATCAGATGAACAAGCTGTGTTATGTTGGAACATTACACATCAGCTTAAAAAACAGTGAGCTACTGATGTACACAAAAGCATGAATGAATTTTAGGTTGAGTGAAAGAAGCTACAAAAGGACACATATTACTTGTAATCATAGGAGAACATGCAGTTTGATTTCATTTATCTGAAGTTCAAGAACTATGATGACAGAAGTCACAACATCACAGCAATGGTTACTTCTGGGGTTGGATTGCCCAAGGCAACCTCCTGGAGTACTGAAAATATTTTTGTATCTTGAGCAGTGTGGTGGTTACAGGGATATATACATATATAGTTTATATTACATACTTTATATATTTTTTATCTTAGCAAAAAAAGTAGAAAACACGTTTACATGTATTGTACAGTTTAGAATTGGCTGGTATGAATAAAATGGACAGTTAGCAATAACGTTTATGGAGTAACCTAAAAAGAGCCAAAAGCCATATACTGTAAACGTTTTGTAACTCTCAGAAAATAGTAGTTCATTAACATTTTGTCAATTTTTTTTTTTTTTTTCTTTTCAGCCTCTGACCTTTTTGAGCCTGGGAAATGCTTACCTTGCTCTGAAGAATATCAGTGGAGCACTTGAGGCCTTTAGACAGGCCTTGAAATTAACCACCAAATGCCCAGAGTGTGAAAACAGCCTGAAGTTGATCCGCTGTATGCAGTTTTATCCTTTTCTGTACAACATCACTTCTGTTTGCAGTGGTAAGCAGCTATTAAATGCTGACAAACTAATGAGCTCAGCCAGAGTTCCTGTTCTGATGAAAAGAACACAGAAAGTGATTTTTTGTATTTTACCCAAGGATTTTAAATAACTAGTATAATTCCAGACGCATAGGAAAAGATGTTAATTCCTTACTTACTATAGATGCCTTAGGGTATTAAGGCTTAATTCTCTCTTAGAACTCTGGTTAAGAAAGGCTGACTAAAATACGTGGTATATTCAACTGGGATGAATAGGCTTTGAGATTTTTTTCCCTCCCTCTAAAATCTCTAGTGTTTTATAATAACTGACATTCCTGGTAAAGTACATTTTTCCTGTCCGTGAAGTCAAAGTATACAATTTGAATCGAAGCAGTTCTATATACTCAGTCACTGAAATACAGTTCCTTGTCTTTCATTGAAGGTGATTCAGACCTTTACTCTACCTTTAAAATAGTGACCCAACATTCAGTGGCATATTTTTCCCTTCTTCCACTCTCTCCCACAGCGTATATTTGGGCATATATGCCTGTGTGTAAGTGTATCCACCTGGGTAAAGCTAATGTCTAAAGCTGTTGCACTTTCATTATTAGAACCTTCTTTCTAAGAATCACATGATATTTGGTTCTCTATTTGTTTAACCTTCACTGTAAAAAAAACTAAAATCGTGAATTTTAACTCTCTGCCTTCGATTGGGATGGGTGCAGTTTACGTATGTGTGGATCCTCAGTATCTAGCCATTGTAGAGTGCACAGTGGGTGCTTTGTTAATATTCAAATTAGATTATAATATTTAATCACATGGATATTAGTTCAACTCCTTCACTTTTGATATTTAAAAACAAAGAACAACCTGACATCCACTTATTTATGTGACTTGTCTAAAAGACATCAATAATTATTAGTAGATTTGGGACCAGAAGTGGTTTTGTTGATTCACTATACCAGACTGCCTTACAATTTTAATAGAATGACAGACAGTAAGTAGTGCTTGCCTTTTAAATATCAAAGCCCAGTTATACTGAAGAAACCAAGAATCTCCCAGCAATATAACTCTGTAGCTCAGTTGTGAATCAGTGTTAAGCACAATCTGAATTAAAGTTATTTTATGAATGCCAGAGTCCCAAAACAGTACAGCAAGGTGGTAGAGTGGAGTGGCTAGCAGTAGAATCTTACAGATTCATGTTTGAGCTGTAGCTCTGCCATTACTTTCTTTTTTATTTTTAAATTTTTTATATTTATGGATACATAATAGTTGCATTGTTCTTACCATATAGTAGATACTGGCTAAAAGTCAGCCATTAGAAATTCATAGTGAATACAAGGTGCTCAGAACTTTAAAGGTGTAAATGAATACAAGGTGCTCAGAACTTTAAAGGTGTAAATTGTGAATTTTTATCTTTTTAATCCTGGAAGATATGCTGTGGTCTTTTTGTTTGTTTGTTTTTAATTCTACTGCATCTTCTTGCAACACTGTGGTTTTTTAAATGTTGTGGGTTACCTAAGAACAACCTTATAAAAAGGATTTTACTTTTTCAATGAGCTTTTTATATTAATAGAATCTCTTATTTTCTTTATTTACTATCATCTCCCTCAACTCTGTTGGAATTTATTTCTGTTTTTGAGAAGGGTTTTGTCATTATATACATGTAGTGACCGTTTTCTAAAAAGTCTCCTCCTTGGCATTAATTTCACATGTTTTTTAGTATTTCAGTTTATTGAAATGTATTCTTAGTTCATGTCACTCATGTCAAGAGAGGGAATACAATTGTCTTGAACTTTTTCCCCAGAATGTAACCTCAACTGGTCCAGGAAACTAATAACTTGGAGCAGATCTTTCTCAGAGTTGTGGTATCTAATAGTCCAGAGTATTCAATGAATATTATTGGGTCCAATATAATAACAATAAAAGAAAATAATTTGACATGGAAACAATTTTTTTATAATAGTTCTTTCAGAGGGAGCTCATCCATAAAAAATATTTAGCGCCTTTTACATTGTAATTAATGAATTTATGAAATTTAGTTAGAAAGTTTGCTCAAACTTACTAAGGCCAACAGAAGAAGTTACTTAATCCTGGGAAATATTCTGTAGTCTTCTTTTTTTTTAAATTCTTCTGCATCTTCTCAGGATGCTGTGATCTTTCAAATGTCATAGGTTACCTAAGAACAGCTAATATTCTATTACTGCTGGTAGACTTAAAATCCTTCTGATATGAATTTGAAAAGAATCCAACATTTGCTAACACCTAAATAAATACTGTTACCTCCTAATGGATGTGTATGCTATAGCATTTTCTAGGTTTAAAAATTCATTAGTAGTAGTGAAACAATTTCAATGTTGTGTTTTTCTTTGACCATGATTTTGAGTTGCTTATTTCCAAAGTAATCCCATTCATTCATAGTTACTTTCCTGAGTTGCAGCTTTGAAAAGCTAAAATTTGAAAGAAGCCAAACACCTTTATAGAAACCAGGAACTTATGTTTGAAATCTAAACAGTTGCATCTATTCTAGTTATCTCTGAGCTTTGCTAAATAATTGATTAAAACAAAGAAAAAAAAAAAAAAACGGGAAAAACCCTCTGATGGATGATTAGGATTTCTTTACCTTTTGTGAAATCAGATGATTCTGTTTGCTGTTTCCTTTTTCATTTTTGCAATATTAAAGTAAGTTTTATAAGTTATCTTGTCTGACATAATCTGTTTTAAGTTTTTATTATGACAATACAGAGGTTTCAAGAGAGTGACAAGGCTTATGATTCTTTTTCCATGTAATAGTCACAGAATTCATGATAATTGTTGGCCAGGTCACAGAATTCATAATTTTTGTCTGGACATGGTGGCTCACCAGCCTGTAATCCCAGCACTTTGGGGGGCCAAGGTGGGTAAATCACCTGAGGTCAGGAGTTCAAGACCAGCCTGGCCAACATGGTAAAACCCCGTCCCTACTAAAAATACAAAAGTTAGCCGGGCGTGGTAGCAGGCGCCTGTAATCCCAGCTACTCAGGAGGCTGAGACAGGAGAATCAACCTTGAAGTTCAGGCTTGAACCCAGGAGGCAGAGGTTGCAGTGAGCCGAGATCGTGTCACTGCATGATCCAGCTTGAGTGACAGAGCGAGACTCCGTCTCAAAAAAGAAAAATGAATAAATAATTATGTTTACAGCAACTATAGTATAATGTCTTAAATAGTATGACCTAGTGGTAAAGGGATGGGCAGTTTAACATTAGCAAGAATTTTGTTATTTCATATATAATCATGGAATTTTTTAATGCAGATTTTTAGTTTGTGTTTCTTGGAATGCCTGTGCAGGTAATTTATTCTATTACTTTTAAATACTGTTTTGTTCAACTTAAAAATACACAATCACTATGCTAAAAAAAGTTTTTTGTACTTATAAAGACTTTATAGCTAAAACTATTGATCAGTGAAGCATTATTTATCTGACAGTGTTTTCAAACTTTTATTAACCTAGAAATCAATGTATTGGCTGCCATTTGTTAGATGCATGTGTTCTTATAGCAACTGTTTATCATCTTCATCTCTCCCTCTTTTGAATACAATTTCATAAATCCTGGTCTTTTATAGGTAGTTTTATATCACTACCATTTCAAGGATGCTGTGAAGGAGAACTTAATAGATTGATTTTTTTTTTACTTTCCCACTCTTGAATTGACTGTAAAAATTAGTGCTTTCAGTTTCAATTAAACATCTTGTTTGGGCAGTTTTAAAATACCTACTGTTTTCCACATTTATAGGCTTGTCATTTTACAATTTTATTTAACTTACGCAGAACTGAATTGGTTACTGTAGCAAACTCATTCTTCAATAACAACTTCGTCCTTTTAAAAGTAAAATAGAATCTGTTAAATAAGCTTATAATGCTTTTGAATATAAGCAAAGTCTGTGAAGTGCTCAACACTAAAAAAAACAGCCTTTTTTTAATTGGAAAAAATAAGTTTCACAGAGAATGAAACTTTATGAAACAGTAAAGGTTATCTTCTCTAAAAAATGGAAAATAACTTTTAATAATAACATGAGCAAAATGATTAAATATTAAATCTGTAGAAAAGTCCAGAAATACATTGATGTGGCATTACAACATGATAGTGGATTTTCCAAGCATTTATTACTGTAAAATATTTTTGAAATACTAATCTGCAAATTAAAAAGTTACATCTAGCAAAGATATTTTCTACTACTAAAGTAATCTAGAGTGTCTTACTATATCTTTGCTACATGTGATTTTACTTTGTTTTTAATGACCTATATTTATTATTTTTCTTATATTAGCATAAAACCAATGGTAAGTTCTATTTATTAGACTTTTATGCCACAAACAGCAACATTGATCTTTACAGCATATAGGTAAGCATTAAACCCAAGATTTCTGAGCTCTGGTCATTTCTTAATTAATTGAGGCACATGCCCACTTAAAAAAATTGGCCCAGATCCTAAGAAAGTATGAATAAATGTTATGCAGAAGGACTCAGACTTTAATGTTTAGGTGTTCCTATAATTGTCTGCAAGTTTCTCTCTCTAATACATATTTGATAGCTTTTGTCTCTGGAGAAAAAAGTAGAATTTTCAAATCATGTTCATGAGATTTAATATCTATTCCAATGTGCAGATGGATTATCTTGTCTTCTCTTCACAGTGTTTCTCTATTTATAGCGTCTATTTATGTAAAGCATATCTCCTTTTATAACTTGGTTCATTGTCTGTAGTTTTAGTCTGTGTTCTTCAACCTAAATTTTTATAGTTTTATAACTTGCAGCTTAAAGCAATTTTAGAGTTCAGATGTCGAAGAAAAAGAAATCCTGCATTTTGCTGCCCTCCAGTGGATTATCCAGCATATATACTGCCTGCAATTAAGGATCTTTGCTTTATCACTTTTTTTTTTACATTCTTTTGTAAGAATTAGTGAAGGTATCTGCTTTTTTTAAAAAGATATTCTTATAGACCCAGTTTTAATAGCACTTCTTTTAGAGGCAGGGTCTCACTGTGTTGCCCAGGCTGGAGTGCAGTGGCTATTCACAGACTCTATCATAGTACACCATAGCTTCTAACTCCTGGCTCAGGCAGTCCTCCCGTCTCAGCCTCCCAGACAGTTGGGACTACAAATGTGTACCACTGCATCTGACTCTTACAGCATTTTAAATATGCTACTAGTTAGGTCACCTCTATTTATTTCTGTAAAAAGAATTAAAACTTTGGTTAATGTATTGCAGATTTTAAAATCCTGAGATGCAGGTATATGCTACAACAAAACCAAATGTACTTCTGTGTATGTAATGTGTCTAAATGTGTTATTTCTTTACTTAAAAGGGCTGTAGTTATTTGATTAACAAACAGTTTTTTAACTTATATCTTTAACATGTATTTAACCTGTGATAGAGGAGACAATAGGAAAAATAATTTTTGTATTTATGAACCTACAAGCAAAGGTTATGATTTACTCAAATTACAGTCAATCATTGGTGGAGCTGAAACTAAAATGTGAGTCCTCTGTCTTCCAGGGCCAGTTTGGTTCCTATGCATAATTCTTCTACCTTTAGCCAGTCATAAATTATTCCACTGCCATGATTGAAAGATTGAAATAATTCATATTTGTAGATTCCTGGGACATTTTATGAAAGCGGTATAATCACTACACTTTTTATGTCATCTCTCAAAAGAGATACATTCCTACATAAAACATGGATGTAAACTAGATTATGGGGGGCAGTCATAATGAACCCCAAGAGCATACCTAAAATGGTCTCTCAGTTTAACATATCACCTTGATCTTTTCTGAATCTTGCATCATTAAATTGCCACATAGCCTTCTATTTTACATGGAAGATCTTATGGCTGTACTTTTGTAGTATTAGCTTAGTAGACAGTATTTTTCTTTTGGGATTTCTAGCATTTAGCTTTTATGAACAAAAGGGATATTTTGGTTTTTATAACAACTTAGAGACAGTATTATCAGATTCTGATGACCAATGGTTTTATACTTCAGCCCCTGAAAGACATTATATATAAATATTTGTTGGTTTTTAATGTGAATTTTTTGTCCTGCATACCAAAAAAAAAAAATCTGTTTTATTTTAAAGAATGAGCCTGTTAGCCCTTGCCTGAGATCTTTTCACAGCTATTCATCCAGTCATTATAGGTTGTTAGCCTGGCCAAATAATATTTAAGAAATATGAAATTTGATAGAGGATATAATCTTCTAAAGCAACAATTTGTTTTCTTTCAATGAAAGGAAACTGGGTGTGGTTCATTCATTCATTCATTCATTCAGTGAACGCTTACTTATCTATTATATGCCAGTCACTATTCTAGGAATTGGAAACCAAACAGAAAATACCTCCAGCTCTTACAGAGCTACATTCTAGTAGAGGGAAACAGACAGTGGATAATAAACACAATCATTTAACTAGAAAGTGAGTGCTCAGGGGGTTGGGGTCATTAAGGAAGACCCCACTGAGAAAGTGACATTTGAACATAGACTTGAGGGAGGATAGGGGTTCTAAGCCATGCAGACATACAGCATAAAAGCATTTCAGGCAGAGAGAATAGCATTGTGGAGGCAGAGAGAATAGCATTGCAAAGATTCATGCAAGAAATAGCAAGGAGGGCTCTCCAGCTGTGGTGGAGGTGTAGGAGATGAAAGCGGAGATAAATATGGTGGAGGATAGAGCCACTTTTTTACTGCCTTGCAGAACATTTTAATAATTTGGGCTTTTCTTCTAAGAGAAAGATGTATGACTAGGAACTGGACAACACAGAAGGTGAGTGGTGGGCCAGCAAGCAAAGCTTCACCTGCATTTACAGCCAGTCCCCATCACTCGCATTACTGCCTGAGCTCCGCCTTCTCAGTGGTGGCATTGGATTCTCATAGGAGCATGAACCTATTGTAAGCTATGCATGCGCAGGATCTAGATTACACGATCCTTATGAGAATCTAAAGCCTGATTATCTGTCTGTCTCCCATCACACCCAGATGGGACCATCTAGTTGTAGGAAAACAAGCTCAGGGCTCCCACTGATTCTGCATTATGGTGAGTTGTATAATTATTTCATTATATATTATAATGTAATAACAGAGTGCACAAAACATGTAATGTGCTTGAATTATCCCCAAACCCCATCGCCACCCAGCCCCCAGTCTTTGGAAAAATTGTCTTCCACGAAAGCAGCCCCTGGTGCCAAAAAGGTTGGGGACTGCTGACTTGGAAGATTTTGAACGCAAGAGTGAAATGAACTGATTTACATCTTAACATAATTCCTCTGGTTACTCTGTTGAGAATAGACTAGTGGGATAAGAGCAGAAGCATGAAGATCTGTTAGGATGCTACTGCAAAAATATCAGTGAGAGATGATACCAGCCTGTACCACTGGGGTGGACAGGGAGAAAGTGAGAAATGATCGTATTTGGGATATATTTTGAAGGTAGAACCAACACGACACTACTAGAAAGGGATATGGGAAATGAAAGAAACAGAGGTCAAGGGTGAGTCTTAAATTTGGAACCTGACCAATCAGGTAAATAGTGGTGCTAT